TTGGGGAGCTCGGTCTTCAAGATCTCCAACCAGTCAATGGTAGTTGTGCTTGCTGCGACCGTTTCCGTTACCGTAACAGTTTCCGTCGTGGCTGTGACTATGGCCGTGTCCGTAGTCGTTTCTTCACCGTCTTCACAATCATCATCGTGGTCATCGTCTTCGTCATCGAAATGACGAGCCTTGATTGGAACAAAGGGGACTTCGGTAGCTAGGACATCAAATAGGGCAGTTGTCGTGGTGGTTGCAGTCGCGGTTTCAGTCGCGGTTTCAGTAGCGGTTGCGGTCTCCGTGGTCGTTGTCGTTACTTCAAAGCCATGGTCATGGTCCCTGTCTTGTTGGGGAGTGTTGTGACGACGGAAACGTTTGACTGGAATGACTTCTATTCCGGTCTCAGTGGCATCAAACAGAGTGGCCGTTGCGGTGGTTGCAGTCTCGGTAGTTGCAGTCTCAGTAGCTGTTTCTGTGGCAGTCTCGGTAGTTGCAGTCTCGGTAGCTGTTTCCGTGGCAGTCTCCGTAGCAGTTTCCGTGGTTGTCCTCCTGTGGTGACGATGATGAGGACGGTCCTTCTTATCGTCCTCCCAATCTTTGTCATCATCACCGTCGTCGGTGCGCTTAAAAGCAACAGCTTGCTTCAAAGGGGCGCGATGGAACTTCCAGTTGCGACGGACGACTGGGATAGGAGCAACAGGGGCGATGGCAGTCGCGGTTCCGGTTGTGGTTGCCTCGATCGTGGCAGTGGCTGTAGCTGTTGCTGCGGTTGTTGCAACCCAATCTCCCCACGCGGGAGCTGTTTTACTCGCGTTAACAGATGCCCAGGGACCAAAGTGTCTGTTTCTCAGGCGGTGTCGTGCAAGAGGCAAAACATCGCCGATAGCGCTGGTGGCAGTCGCAGTCGCCGTGGCCGTAGTGCCTGTTGTTGTGGTTGTTTCAAGTTCAGACAGGATCGTGTCGAGAACTGCTGGTATCGCGCCTTGAGGAATTGCAAGGGCCGATCCGGCCATCGCCAGTGCGAGAAGTTGAGCCTTCATTTTCCGTTCGGTAAGCAGCAAATTGAAAACGATGGAATATGATACTACTAAATTGTACAGACTACGCGGGATAGATTAATGTACAGAGAGAGTGAAAATATGAGGTTGGGGAGTGAGGTGGAAGGAGGGAGCCGTCCGAGCCCATGTCTTTTTATGCTGGGCGCCCAGTCTTGGCCAGTCTTGGCCAGCAAACATTGGATTTACCGGCACGATCTGGGCTAACTCATATCGATATTGTTCCAGACGGGCTAGGACGGCTTGTAGTCGCACGTTGGCAAAACTGATGTAGTTACAGATCGCAAACAAGGCAGTAATCCATGGAAAGAAGGGATTATCAGTTAAGACATCGCATCATTCTTACACGTTCCCTCATCCTTTATGCAGGTCTTTCATTTGTTTTTGTTCCATGGAGGGTGACAAAATGTCTTCCATCCGGGCCAACTTGGACTCGCGACTGCCTCTCATCGGAAATGCAGGCAGTTCATGGATGTTGTTGGCCAATGTCCATTAAAGTTCAATCTGCAAGGTTCCGCGTATCCAAACTAATGAGCTACCGCTTATATGCTTGAATGGATACTAGAGACACATTTTCAAATACCATCTCCATATGCAGAAAAAAAATGCAAAATGCAGACTGCGACATTGGAAAGGGCTCATCGTCCTATATCCTTCACCCAGGGCACCGATGATGTAATTGATGCGATGATCACAGCGGCCCGAGCGGGCGAGCGCGTGAAAAAACAAAAAGCAAGACACACTCAACCTCCGGTAAAGAATGGGTTTATCGATTCGATTCTCGGCACACCAGAGCACTATACTGCCTGCCGGCTGGGCCTACTCTTGGCAAATCGCAAATCGCGGAAGCAAATGCAAACATGTATACAAGGACAATGGCAGGTGGGTATGAATGGAAAGCTTCCTATCGTGCGTGGTATGTGGATATCGACCAATGAACGTTCTGGGATGTACTAGATCTGGTCAAAGCGTTATTGTTTTTCTTGAGATTTCCGCAATTTATTAAAGATATAGAGATCGCGTATGGAATAATTCCATTTTCTGAGGGTTCGATTCAAATGGCGCGAAGGTCTAACACGCATGAGGACAGTTGTCCAAGTGTACCCTCAAAAGTTAAGGCTTACGATCCGGTTGGTAAACTGTCAAGATCATGTTTAACTAAAAGATATGAGCGGAGTCAAGACAAGTCTGCTTAAGTAAGCATAAATGCAAATCAAACAAAAAGCCCAAAGCAATCTTCAGGTAGAATCCAAAATATCTATCTGGCAGCAGTTGTATTTAATCATAGTAACTATGATAAGAGTACAAAGTCCGTATTCAAGTCCATTGTTTCTTTATCCACTACAGTTTCAGTGGAGATTTTCTCCAAAGTGTATTCCAGATTATGCTGCATCAACCAATGCGCAAGTCTCCCCATTTTCCGAATGCGTCTGACCATTCGCGTTTGCTTTCGAGCTTGTTGGAGTCCCATTCAATCTCTCCCAAGCTGATTTAAGCACCATTCCCACGACATCTCGATACGCTAATCCCTCTAGCTTACCCATATATGCTAATTTTCCGTCCCAGCACCACCCAGGGTTTGGATTGACTTCAAGTAGTTTGATGGTTCCATTCGGTTTGTCCGACCGGAAGTCAAACCTTGCATAATCTCGGCACTCGAAGCGATCCCAGAGAGCGATGCACCATTCGTGCAAGTCTGACACCGATTTTGCTGACAGCGTCGTCGCCTCCTTGTACGTGATGTCAGTCCAGTAGGGGGAGCTTGGGTCCCATTTGCTCTCATATCCCAGGATTGGGGGAAGGGACCTGGCCGTTATCTGGCTATAGTCTACTTCGAGAATCGGAAAGAAATGGAATCCAGTCTCGCGATTACCGATCATTCCAACTCCATATTCGGGACCCTGCAGATACTCTTGTACGAGGACGTCTCGTATACCAATTGACCGCAGCTCGGCCATATAGGCATCCAATTCTTTCTCATTGTTAACGATCGAGCGGCCGGTAATACCCAGAGAATTGTCACCTTTCACTGGCTTGATGAAAGCGGGGTAGCCAATCTCTCTAGATATAACCGCATGCAAGTTCGAGATGTCATGGACAGCCGGTGTTGCTGTGTCCGCAAAATAAAAGGTTTCCTTGGGGGTTGGAACTCCGATTGCGGCAGCAGTTCGGTTTACGAGACCTTTGTCGTAGCAATAAGCTAGACAGTTCGGACCTGCACCAGAATACGGAATTTTAAGCATATCGAGGAGTGCTGGAACATGAAGCTCCTTCAGAGCATCATTGTCGAAACCCTCATCACAAAGGTTGAAAACAAATTGTGGAGGCCGTTGACTTAGTTCGCGTATGTAAAGGTCGTGGCGGTCCAAAACCTTCACCGCACTTGGGGGGTATCCAAGGTCGTTTAGAGCTACAAGGAGCTTGCGACGGGTATCAATATCCTCGGGATTCCAAGTATTGTTAAGTTTCCCAAAACAGCGTTGACTT